TGTGAGTTAGAATTATGTTCTGCATCCTTCTCTAGCTCTGTCCATGACCCTCTGTTTTGATCCCGCCCGGTCAGAGCAGTCAGTGGTGGTAGCCGGGCACCATCTAGCTATACTGGACTCAGTCTGGTGGAGGTCGTGGTAGCTGTGGTCCATTAGTCCTTTCAACTTACACTGTGTCGTTTTTGTTGAATGCTTCATTTGCTGGACATTTCGATTGTTTTAGATTTTTAGTGTTTTAGCTATAAGGCTGGAGTTACATTTTTGTGCACATACATGGTTGTTTTCTTTGGATAAACTCCTAAAAGATTTTTTGTGTGTGTGTCCTGGAATTCTTTTTTTGTTGTTGTTTATTGTTGTAGTTCAAGTGAAAGTTTACATTTCAAGTTAGTCTTTTATACATAAACTTATACATACATTGTTATGTGACCCTAATTGCTCTCCCTACACTGTGACAGCACACTCCTCCTTTCCACCCTGGATTTCCCATGTCCATTCAACCAGCTCCTAACCCTCTCTGCCTCCTCATCTCACCCCTAGACAGAAGCTTCCTGTTTAGTCTCATGTATCTACTTGAGCTAAGAAACACACTCTTCACGAGTATCATTTTATGTTCCACAGTCCGGTCCAAACTTTGTCTGAAGAGTTGGCCTCGGAAGTTGTTGTATAAACTCCTAGAAGTTTAATTTCAAGTTCAGGGTTTTGACTGATTTTGCAAAGTGCTATAAGTTTAATTCTAAGTTTGCCAGTTTGATAGTTGAAAGATGGTGTCTCATTTTGATCTGCAATAATGATATTATTTTTCACCTACCAAATCAACTCTTATATGTTTTTAAATGTAGCTTTTCTTAACATGTGCAGTATCCCTTCCTTTGTCTATATCTTGGGGAAAATTATATTGAAATTTATTTGCATACATAAATGCACAGAATTTAATAAACAGTTCAATGAGTTTTGACAAACATATACACTGCTGTTACCATTGCACAGATTAAGATATCAAACCTTTGCATCATCCCAGAGAGTTTCCTCATGGGACATGGTGCTTTGTATTTTGAAGGGCCTTTTGAAGATAAGGAGACGTATGTAACAAATAGCATTTGTTAATTGAAATTTGCTTTGCTTATTTAATTCCTAAATAGTAATCTATAAAATAAAATTTGTAATTGTATGGCAATCTAAGTTTACATTTAATAAGACTTAAAGTATACCAAGATTTATTCTGCCTTTGTTATTCACATAAATCCTTTTATTATGTAGACATTTCATCTGGGTATTTTGTCCTCCTAGGAGACTCTGCAAATTGATGAGGATGATAGACCAGAATTAGTATGGTGGAAGTGTAAGAAGTGGGCATTGCATATTGTAGCTCGTCTTTTTGAACGGTAATTCTCTGTTTATTAGAATTACAATCTTAATAGTCAGTGTCCCAGGATTGAATATAATAAAATATCTGTCTGATATTACCCTTGATGCTCTACAGTGTTTGATTATTTGTCCTTGGAGCCATAAAGGGCAGAGAATTACCCTCTGTTGGTTTCAAGCAGGCTTAACCATAGTCACTGATTTTGAGATCATAAGAAGGTGGGTGGTCTTCTCTGGATCTTTTCTATTCTTTTGTGAAAAGCACGGGGAAACGACATTGTGCAACTTATTGGAAATATTCAGGAATTGTAGATGAAGGTGCATGGCCACTCAGCTCTGTAGGAAATAGTCAAATTTAATTTTGAGAGAATTTATTGAAAACCTATTATATATCAGATGTAATATATTCTTAGTTCTAATATTTGCCCTTTAGGAGCTCTTGATTTAGTAGGTAAAACTTCTGTCTGAAATTTGAAGTATGACCCAGAGTCTGAGTATGGCTCATCATGATTTCTTTACGGAGCTTTTGAAAAATGGGGAAAGTGTTAGTTTTCTGCTCCAATGGAATACATCTTTCAACAAGGAACTGTATTTAAACTAGTGAGCATGCTTTGCTTTTAAAATTCACAATATTTAAACATTTTCATTTTGTATTTGCAGATATGGAAGCCCAGGAACTGTCACAAAAGAATACTTTGAATTTTCTGAATTCTTCTTGAAAACCTATGCAGTAGGAATTCAGCAGGTAATAAACTTAGGCTTTTAAAATAGAAGAGTGGTTACTATTGGAAGTGAAGTCATTTCTATCCATTTAAAAGTAGGCTACAAATGTAATAAATTACATATTCGTAGGGAATGAAATGGCATCTCTGGGAATCTTCATATAGTTCAATCAGTTTTAGACCTAAAAGTTCTACAGCAGCTACCACAGAACTGCCCTTACAGACTCCTAGACTCTGGACTCAAACGTTTTAAGTTTGTTGATACTGATGTAGCATTCATCAGTGTTAGCTTAGGTTCTCTGTTAACTCTCTCTGACCTCTTATAAATTTAACTTCTTTTCTTCTCTTTGGGCCTCACCTCTTTGTTGCCAACTTTTATATTAGAAAATTTACGAATTGAATTATTGAATTGAATTAGAAGATCATACGAATTGATTATTTCAAGAGGAATTGAGCCTAGAAGTTAAGACTTTCAGCTAAGATCTTAAACTTTTCAGTGGAATTTTGGGAACCATTCTGTACAGTAAAAATTAGGAGTTCTTGAGAAACAATCCAAGTTGGTATTTGTATTTAGAAACTTTAAAAACTACAAAGGATAAGTGGGCTGTGAAAATTGGCTGACAGTATTGCCATTTGAATGTTGATATTTTTGTTTACATTTAACAAATAAGATTTAATAACTATTGAACATTGGCTATGTCAGAAAGCAAGATTAATCAGACATGACAAAAGACTATAGTGATACAGAGGGCGTTTCTAGATTTTCATAAATCTATGAATGTTAGTGTTCTTTACTGTCAGTAGTATAAAGTTAAATAATTTAAACCTGCCATCTTAAGGTGGAATACTTGAACTGAATTCATGTTTTGAATTTATAAATTCTGTACATATTTTGAAAGAACGCTTTTTATTTATTCAGCAGCTCTGTTATAGCATGATATAATGAAGAGCTCCAGAGACCAGGAGTTGAAGGACTTGGGCTGTGTTGTAGTGCTCTCTCTGCTGAGGGTCTTTGAGCCAGTCACAGCTGTTTTGTGCTTCCTTATAATCAACCTTTCTTTTTTTTTTTAATCAGTCTTTTAAAAAATAGTTTCTCAGTTTTGTGTTACACTTACAAAACCTTTCCATTATCTGAGATTATAAAATTCCCCCACATTTTCTTGTAGGAATTCTGTGCTTTAATTTTTTGGTTGAAATATTTCCCCATGTGGAATTTATTTTGGTATAAAGTTTTAGTGAGGAAGCCAGCTTAATTTCTTTCAGAGAGCTAATCAGTTGTCCCAATACTATTTTTTGAATAAATTTGCTTTTTTCTTCCAATTCAAAATGACACTTTTATTGCATATTAAAATCTGTTTATGGTATCTTGCTGATAGAAATTTTCAATTTTCATTTACTTAAATCTGTTCATTTTTATTTCTATGGATTCTAAAAAGCTGCCACCCTTTCTTTAACCTTAAAATTGTTTATGTCTTTCTATATTTTCTTTTCCTGTTTTTCTGTAGGTACTACTAAAAATTTTAGACCAATATAGACAGAAAGAATATGTAGCCCCCCGTGTTCTTCAGCAAGCATTCAACTATCTCAATCAAGGGGTTGTTCATTCTGTAACCTGGAAGCAGATGAAGCCACACATACAGGTTTGTGTCCAGGAGCAGCTCTCCAAAATTATTCTCTGTTTGAATTATGTTTTGTAGACAAAATAAGTGTTTCTAAACCTATATTTTATATCTGATATCTATATTGCTATTAATAGCTTCAAATGAGTGCTGTCTCATGTTATATTGATATGAAGGGTCTGGAAATTTAAGCATTTGAGAAGAGTGAGGACTTTAAGTTTTATGTGTTGGAAAGCTTGGATTCAGTTGGTCTTGCTTGGAATCACATTTATCCTCAGTTTCCTCCTCTATTAAGTCAGATAATGTTTTTCTACCCTTTTTATCTAAATGTTGCTGGGATCAAATGAAGTATTTTATGTGAAAGCATTTTGGAAACTCTCATTAGGGTTCTACTAAGATAGTGTTATTTTGCAGGTAAGTGAAGCCTGAAACATGACCATTTTCCTTTGCAGTTCTGAGTGAAAGGTTTTTATTTCCTGTTTTGGATTGTTACGTTCTAGCAGAAGTTAAAGTTTTCCATTTTTATATAAATTGTTTACTTAAAGGTGGAATTCAGCATTGTTATTTGATTAAAGGTCAAATGAGAATGGAAAATTATGGACCATTGATGAATACATTTTTGTTTGCATACAGATAACTTGGCGTAATTTAAAGACATTGGTAACCAATTGTTTTTCTCAAATTATGATTTCTTAAATTCTGTAATCTCTAAGATGGTATCTAAAAAAGATGGTAAATTCTTTTACTTTGCCTTTAGGTCCAGGATAGAATTTGTTTATCATTATCTTATTACAGGTCTGAAAAAAAAAATTTTTATTATTTTTTATTTTTGTTTATTGTTGTAGTTTAAGTGAAAGTTTACATTTCAAGTTAGTCTTTTATACAAAAATTTATACATACATTGTTATGTGACCCTAATTGCTCTCCCTATACTGTGACAGCACACTCCTCCTTTCCACCCTGGATTTCCTATGTCCATTCAACCAGCTCCTGACCCTGTCTGCCTTCTCATCTCACCTCTGTATAGAAGCTGCCTGTTTAGTCTCATGTATCTACTTGAGCTAAGAAGCACACTCTTCACGAGTATCGTTTTATGTTCCACAGTCCAGTCCAAACTTTGTCTGAAGAGTTAGCCTTGGAAATTGTTTTAGTTCTGGGCTGACGGAGAGTCTGGAGGCCATGCTTTCCAGGATTCCTCCAGTCTCAGTCAGACCATTAAGTCTGGTCTTTTTACTATAATTTGAGTTCTACACCCCACTTTTCTCCTGCTCCATCTGGGACTTTCTGTTGTATTCCCTGTCAGGGTGGTCATTGGTGGTAGCTGGGCACCATCTAGTTCTTCTGGTCTCAGGCTGAAGAAGTTTCTGGTTTATGTGGCCCTTTCTGTCTCTTGGGCTACTACTTCCCTTGTGTCTTTGGTGTTCTTCATTCTCCTTTACTCCAGGTGTTTGGGACCAATTGATGCATCCTAGATGGCCATTGCAAGTTTTTAAGACCCCAGCCACCACTCACTATTTTTATTAGGTTTTATATGAACATCTTAATAACTCTTTGCCCAATCACCTTGATCAAATAATGATATATATTTTTTGCAATTAATAAAGATACTGATTTCATTTCATTTGCTGTTCATGTTCCTGCAAAGTAATGGTGAGTTGATAGTATTTCTTCTCTACTTGATAACCTTTGGCCTTATTTTTACATGACTGTAGTATAGGAATAAGAAAGCTCTCATCCCTAGGCTGAGTTTTTCCTTTTAGAATTTTTAAATTTGGAATAAATGATAAGAGATGATCCCTGTTTTACACACATACTTGTTAAAGCACAAAAAGGCTTAACAAAGCATTAGTAGCAGTATACTGAGAAACTACTAGATGTGATTTTTTTTTGAAACCTACATTTGTAGAGTAGCAAACCAGATTTTTTTTTTTTTAATGAAAGAAGAGAAGAAAATTTTAATATCGTGGGTACATTGACATTTAGAACCAAAATGGAAATGTAAAAAAATTCAAAATAAGAAGTACAATAGTAAACATGACCTTGGGTTGACATTTTTGGTTCTTCCTTAAAGAATCAAAATATGTTTAGTATTGATTTGTTAGTAGAACTTTATTATTCTTTCTGTTGGTTCAAACATTAGCATTTTACATCTGTCTCTTTTATACACCTTTAACCAATTGTTTCAAAACAATTTATATTTAACTCTTTAACCTCAGCCACCCCTCAGAGTCTCTTGCTTTCCTGCTTCCACCTTAGTAAATATAAGCTTAACATAAAGATGATTATAACAGCTTGGAACAGCTACAGCAAAACTGAGATCATAAATGCTGTCAGTAAATACATTATTGGTATCCCCAAAACCTGAATAGCCTATATTCATTCATTGTTTTGTGTTTTCTTCTCTTAGAATATCTCTGAGGATGTGATTTTTTCTGTGATGTGTTATAAAGATGAGGATGAAGAGCTGTGGCAAGAAGATCCATACGAGTATATAAGGATGAAATTTGGTAATCCAGATGGTTTTGTTCTTCATCAGTTCTGGATATGTAAAGTAATATAACTAAATTCGTATTTTTAAGCAGATTTTATTATTTTGTTAAATTTTCAAAGTTCTTTGCATGATAAACTTTGAAACCCATGAGAGTTTGAGGTTTCATTGAAACATGGAACATCCCTTGGATTTCTGCGTATTTTAGGAGCACCCCAATTTGGTCCTAGGGACTAAGTATTTCAGAAGAGGATAGGGTTACTGATAGTGGCCCATTATGTATGGCTCAGCTCTCTGGGGTCCTTCTAGCGTGGATCTTCCTGGAAGCTGCTGTACTGTGTAGATTACCTGAGTTCATTCCCTTTTGTCCCCAGTTAGAATTAATCACTTCACAGAATACTCAGGCACTTTAACATACGTACCTTGTCTCTCACAACTTAGGAACTATCTGAGTGAGGGGACTTTATCTTATTTATTGGCTTTATTTTGTGTTCACCATCCCTTCTACACCTCTGCATTCCATTACTGGGGCTTCTTTTTAGTCCGCCTTCAGTAAATGCTGAAATAAATGATTGATGAAATGATTGCACTGTCCACGGCGTGTCAGAGGTGCTCTGTGACAAAGCAGTGCCGTCCCCTTGTTGGGGCAGGTGTCCTTAGCTGTGTGAGTTAAACCTACTGGGACAGATGCTAGATTATTTGGCTGTGTTGTTTTTACAGTGCTTTGTGTTTTATATTCTTTGATTCAGTAAGTGAGGAGGTACCTCTTCTCTTGGAGACAAAGTGCAGGAAAAGCAAATGAATGAGAAACAACATTTATGATCTGCTCTGTCTGTCTATTTTACCTTTTTCTTTTGAAAACCATTGCACGTCTTCTGCATGACATACTTCTCTTTCCTAATGCCTTTGTTTTCCTGGTTTTCTTTAAGCCAGTATTTTTTCTATCTTCAAGGCATTCGTTAAGCATTTACTTTTTCTATAATAACCTGTGTTTTTGTTATGCACAGAATATCTGTTTAACTTTCAAAAGCTACCGTTATTTCACTTAGGTATTATAGCGAATAGGATAATATCTAGTTTTTAGAAAATTAAGTAAGAGTTGTATGTGTGCTGATTGACAGTTGAAATTTACATTTTATTGATCATTCAAAAAAATATGGATAAGGCTAGCTGAAGTGCTTTTTCCTTAGTCATTCCTCTTCTGTGGCCTAGAATGCAATGTCTATTTGTTGTGTGTATTTTACTTTTAGAAACTATAAGGAAGAAGAATTTCCACACTAGTTTTTCTTTTTTTTATATATTTTTGTCACTAGCAATTATTTATATGAACAAAGTGTTCCTATCTTTATTGATTGTTCTTAGTTTCTTAGTGCTGCTGTAGCAGAAATACCACAAGTGGGTGGTTTTAAAGAACAGTTTATTTTCTCACAGTTCAGGAGTCTAGAAGTCCAGCTTTAGGTCAGACTCTAGGGGAAGGCTCTCTCATTGTCAGCTCTGGGGGAAGATACTTGTCTCAGCTTCTGTAACCCCTGCGTTCCTCAGCTCCTTGGCGAATTCCACATGGAGGTTTCCCGATTTGTGTTTGTTTCTCTCTGTGTCTAATCTGCTCTTTTGTTATCTTAAAAGTCATTAAGTTTAAAACACACCCTACACTGATGTAGCCTCATTAACATAACAGAGAAAGCCCTATTTCTAAATGGGATTACATCCACAGATATGGGGATTAGAATTCCACTACATACTTTTGGGGGAACACAATTCAATCCATAACATTGACTAATGTTGTTAATAATGTTTTTAGATTTGATAAAAACTAACAAGAGCTCAGGCTTAAGACAGTCTAAGTGTGATGCTGACCTGATTGTGTGACTCTGAGCAGGTTCCTTAACCTCTCTCAGGTGGAATGTTTTCAGCCATAAAGCAGGCAATGATAATATTGCTGGTAGGATTAAATGGAATAATACACGTGAAATAACTGCTTAGCATAGAAAATTAGATGCTTGTAAAATCCTAGCGTAGTGCTTGGCATAGAATAAGCATTCAATAGATGTTAGCTATTAGTATTATTATGTTTGCATTCAATGCCTTATATTTTGAGGCAAAGACCTAGATTTGGTCTTATTTTTATAGTAAAACATAGGTATACTCCGATACTTCTCAAGTTTTCAAATTCTTCTGTAAAGCTACCTATTTTGAAATTTGTGGAAGTTTTCATGACATTAAGCAATGTATTATGTTTTAAATAGATATATATATACAACAAATACGTATTGAATCTACCTATTGACAGAGCCAAGAACTGTCCTAGCAATCTCTCAAGGCTTTTACACTTGCTGTTCCCTCTGCTTGGAGTGTTTTATCTTTATATTTCCACGTATAGTTTTCTTCCTCATGTCATTCAATCTCTGCTTAATTGTTAGTTTAGCAGAGAGCTGGAGAGACTTTCCTGGAGACCCTGTTTAAACTAGCATGCCTATACCTTGTCACTCTTTGTTTCCTTACCCTGTTTACATTTCTTCTGAACCTGACCTATTATTGTTGTGTGTATGTGTGTGTAGGTTTGTGTATGTGTATGTATGTATGATCTGTTTATTTCTTTCTCTCACCACACAAGCACCATGAGAAGCTTTTTTGTTTACCTTTGTATCCGCAGAGCCTAGAACAATGCCTGGCACATAGTAAGCACTGAATAAATTATTGTTGTTTTTGGATATTTTCTGTCCTCAATGAAACAGAGATGCCTAATTTGTATTGTTTTCTTTAGAATGATTGTTTAAAAGGTCAGGCTGTAGAGTTTGATAAATACTGTTGCATATGAAAGCATTAGTGATGTATTCTTAGGTTTTTTATGCTGTGAATCAGTGTCATGTGGAATATTTTATTTCTTGGTTTTGGAGTAGTGATTATTCAGGTTTAAAGTCTGTAATAAGTAATTGCATTTTTACTAACATGGCTTAACCTTTTGAAATCCTAGATATTTTTGAAGATTATGCTTCTCCCACTACAGCAGCCCAGGCTCTCTTATATACTGCTGCAAAGAAAAGGAAAGAGGTATATGTTAATTCTCTTTAATTCTAAAACTGAAAGGTGGCCTGTACTGATTTGACACTCTAATATACCCCTAATATTTGAAAAATTACATTGTTATTAGTTATAACATGTCACTTTAAGAACATTTTTCTGTTCCAGTGAGGGAACAGAGTAAAATATCATTGTTTATTATTCAGTGTTTTAATAAATTGTACCTTTTTTATTGGGATTATAATTGTTTGATAAAGGAAAATAAACTATTTCTGAAAATTTGTGCATCATATTTGATACTTTAAGAACGCAATGAAAGCTCATGTCGACTAAAATTGATTCTTCTATTTCTCTAGGTGTTGCCAAAAATGATGGCATTCTGTTATCAAATCCTAACAGACCCGAACTTTGACCCTAGGAAGAAAGATGGAGCCCTGCATGTGATTGGTTCCCTAGCTGACATTTTATTGAAGGTCAAGATAATCAAAATGTTAATCTACTTAATTAAACTGTGTAGAAATAGACAAAAGAGAGACTATGAAAGTCATGGATGATTTAAACTGGTTTCTGCTTCTTGATAATTGAGTTGATTATAAATAGCCTCCTGTCATCTATTTCTTTAATTAAAAAAGAAAATGTGACTTATTTGTCTGAAACTGTTGCTGTACAAAGAAGGATACTAAATTACTTCAGAGTTAAATTGTTTTGTTTCTATAAAAATCAATATTAAATTGTATCTGAGATACTATTTTTCCCTTTATTTAAAACATGCAATATCTAGGTCAACAAATTTTACAAATTTATAACTAAAAGTATATTTAATGTAAGTTATAATAAAATTAATTTTTGAAGAAGTGATTCTTACATATGAAAAAAATTGTTAACTTGAAACTTAATTTCCATTTCCTAACAGAAGAGTCTATTCAAGGACCAAATGGAGTTGTTGCTGCAGAATCATGTATTTCCATTATTATTGTCTAACCTGGGATATCTTCGAGCTAGAGTAAGTTTTTTGTATTCCATTATTTATCTTAAAATCTTTATCTGTAAGATAATTATTGAAGTAAATGTTCTTGGATAAATTGACCTGTTACCATATATTGAGATGAAGTTATATAAATTAGAATGTCCATGATGTCCACATCAGTTGAATAAAGCACAAACTCATAAGGGATTTGTGAATTTTAATTCCAGCTGTTTTCCTTTGGCGCCCTAGCCTCACTTGTTGCATATGCAAAGCATGCAGGGTGAGAGGGATGTTGTTACAGCACTAGTATAATGTAAATTTATAAACTGATTCATTTTCGTAATCTAAAACAGCATGAAATTCTAGTTTGTCTAAAAATTTGATTATGATTTCCAGCATATTAGGGAGATGTTGCCTTATTAAAAGGAGAAAATAATAATCCATGTAAAATTGTGTTCTAACTGTATATTCTAGAGTCAATGTGTTTTATGGAGAAATAAAAACACAACTTTACTTCAAACTGTAAGTGCATCAGCACAAAAAAGTCTTGCTTAAAACAACATATGTTAACAATGCCTTGTACACTGTAAAATATTTTATATACATAAAATAATATAGTTACTAGAGAAATATTTGGGCAGATATAGATTAGGAACACTGAGAGCACGTTAGTATTTTTATAGTTATGTTCCTAACTTTGAGAGACTGTATAAATTGTAATTCTCTTGCTGAAAGGCTCTAGTAATTCAAATTAGTTACTGTTGGTTATGTCTTGTGTTCATAGAGAATAGATAAAGGAAAAGTGTGATTTCATGATCTAATAGTTTAAAATTTAATAAGCTGTAGGAGATTGAAAAATCTTTCTACCTATGTGAGTGAAAGAAAGAAGTTTAAGTCAGCTAATGTAAGGGAAAATAATGTTTCACCTATGTGTAAAGGCCAGCAAATGAATTTCAAACACTAGTTTTGTGGTAGCTTTTACATATAAATAATAAATGAATTCTGAATTATAATATTTATTAAAGGCATAAACAGGATTTTTTTTGGAGGAGATGCTTAATTTTGGCTCCTTTTCTTTTTCCTATGAAAAATGTTATTACATATAGGTAGTTCAGAAGTAATGAAACTGCTTTTCTTATTAAAAAAAGTAAAAAACCCAGAAGTTAGAAACAAAAGCTAATATGCCACACTCCAAAAACAAACTTGGTACTTGTACACTTGGTAGCAGTAGTGATAGTTTACTGAGTAAGAGCTTCTTACATGTGTGACATTATTATAAAATGCCATAATCCTAATAGCTCCTTACTTTCTTCTTTTAATACAGTCGTGTTGGGTACTTCATGCATTCAGTTCTTTGAAGTTTCATAATGAGCTCAACCTAAGAAATGCAGTTGAACTAGCCAAGAAGAGCCTGATTGAAGATAAAGAGATGCCTGTCAAAGTAGAAGCTGCCCTTGCTCTTCAGTCATTAATTTCTAACCAGATACAAGGTAAAGCTAAAAATACCTTTTAGAGGTAGGGTTTTTTTTTCCCCCTTCTTTTGACATGGTCTTCTCAAGTAATTTATGTTAATTAGTAGGGTTTAGGGTTTGCATTTCTGAGCTTCTGCCCCCTTAGAATTTTATAGAGAGTTTTCTTTTTCTTTTTGGGAGTTGCTATGGGTTGGTCTGTGATCTCCAGAATGAATTTAGATTAGGAGATGAGTTGATATTGTGGGCACTAGGCTAGACTAGAGACCTGGGAGTCTAGTTTTAATTTTGCCACTAACTTGCCTCATAAACCTGGGCAAGGCACATGATCTGTCAAGACTGAGGTTTCCATGTCTTTAAATTTAGGGGAGTTGGACTAGATAGTTTCAAACTTCCTTTCAACTTCAGGAGTCTGTGCTTCTGGAAGTTCTGAAAGTAGCAAGTAGTATTTCTAGTGAGCTCTCTCATTTGTTTCTCTAAAAGAATGTTGTGCTTAAAGGTCAAATAAACCAATGAAAGCAAATTCAACTTTATGAAAAACATGAACCTAGTTCACCACTATTCAACAATATTTCATCGAGAGGATTGAATCCTGAATAAGGATATGCCAGTCATGGAGTGGGTAGAGAATGGCCCTGTCGGTATTGGGCATAGTCTTTTTTTTTTTTAAATTATATTTTATTGTGTTTAAGGTGAAAGTTTACACAGTGAATTAGGTTTCAATTTAACAATTTCTGCCTAAATTACTCAGTGATATTGGTTACATTTTTCACAGTGTATCATCATTCTCATTCATTCAGTTCTGGTTGTGCAATTTCCAGTCCGCTAGTTTCCCTGCCCCCTACCTTCTCATCTTTGCTTTAGAGTAATTTTTAACCATTTGGTCTCATATAGATGATTTTTTAAAGGAGCTTATTACTCATGAGTGATATTCTTTATTTTATGAGTCAGTCAGCTAAAAGGTGACCTCAAGGGATATTATTGGTTTAAGATTTAAAGAGTATCTCAGAGTAATAGTCTCGGGGAGTCCCCTAATCTCAACTGGTCCAGAAAGTCTATACTTTTTAAGAATTTGAGTTCTGTTTCATATTTTTATCCCGTTCTATGGGGATCCATCTATTGTGGCCCTTGATCAGAATGGTCTGGGCATAGTCTTTATGTGCATGATATTTTATACTTATGTCCTGATGTCATTCATGTTGTAAAAGTCATGCAGATGATGTAGCATTTATGTAATTAGGATTTCTTAATAGGAGCTATTGGTATTTTGGGCAGGACAGTTGTTTCCTGTGCAGGACTGCTTCACCCTATGTTGTTGTTGTTAGGTGCCGTCAAGTCAGTTCTGACTCACAGTGACCATATGTACAATAGAATGAAACAGCGCCTGGTCCCTCATCAACAATCGTTGCTGTTTGAGCCCATTGTTGCAGCCACTGTGTCAAACCATCTGGTTGAGGGTCTTCCTCTTTTTTGCTGACCCTCTACTTTACCAAGCATGATGTCCTTCTCCAGGGGCTGATCCCTGCTGATAACATATCCAAAGTACATGAGACAAAGTCTTGCCATCCTCGCTTCTAAGGAGCATTCTGGTTGTACTTCTTCCAAGACAGATTTGTTCATTCTTCTGACAGTCCATGGTATATTCAATATTCTTCGCCAACACCATAATTCAGAGGCATCAATTCTTCTTCAGTCTTCCTTAGTCATTGTCCATCTTTCACATGCATGTGAGGTGATTGAAAATACCATGGCTTGAGTCAGGCACAGCTTAGTCCTCAAGGTAGCATCTTTGCTTTTTAACACTTAGAGGTCTTTTGCAGCAGATTTGTTACTCATGGGAAAATTAATGCATCGGTGAACATTATTTTGGTACAGCTTTCTAACTTATCCACCATAGAGCAAGTGCGTATTTCAAACCACATCTAGCTATTACCTTATGTCACTTTACCTTGTGACTAAATTCTTTTCACCATCTACGAATGGCTAATTTTTACTAATTTTGTTTTATTGCATTAGCTAAGGAATATATGAAGCCACATGTGAGGTCTATTATGCAGGAGCTGTTGCACATTGTTAGAGAGACAGAAAATGATGATGTTACTAATGTTATCCAGAAGATGATATGTGAATACAGTCAAGAGGTGGCCTCAATTGCTGTTGATATGACACAACACTTGGTAAGACTGGGTGAAATTTTACGTTAGTTTGGTATAAAAGCTTTGAGTAATCTAAGTAAACTCTAAAATTTAGTGTTCAGTTTTATATGTAACTGAAATGTTAATATAAAAGTTAATGTTTGCTCTAATAATTCTGACATTCCTATAGTTAGACTTATATCCTAAGATTATAAAATAATAATCTTCCAGTATGTAAGCCCAACTGGAATAATATCTTAAATACTCATTATAGTGAATATTCTTTTTTTCTAATGGTTAGAGGAATTGCTTTTCTGATGTTTCCCTAATTTGACTATAGGGTAAGGTCACTTAAGAATTCTAGAGCCATCATGTAGATACTTTTTTAGGGGCTTCATAAATAACTTTTAAAAGAATCTAGTACCACTGTTAAATTTTAAATATATTTAAAAGCACTATCTTATGATAAAACCAGAAAAACCCATTGCCATCAAGTTAATTCTGACTCGTGGCAACCCCATATGTTATAAAGTAGAACTGCTCCATAGGGTTTTCTTGGCTGTAATCTTTATGGAAGCAGATTACCAGGGCTTTCTTTTGCAGTACTGCTGGGTGGGTTCGAACTGCCAATCTGGAGGTTAGTAGTCGAAGGCAAACCATTTGCACCACCCAGAGACCTCATCTTATGATAACCTGTTGCCGTCAAGTTGATTCTGCCTCATATAGCTAACCAAAAAAAAAACCAAGCCTGTTGCCATCGAGTTGATTCCAACTCATAGTGACCCTATAGGACAGAGTAGAACTGCCCCATAGGGTTTCCAAGGAGCAGCCAGTGGATTCACACTCCTGACCTTTTGGTTAGCAGCCAAGCTCTTAACCACTGTGCCACCAGGGCAGTGGTTAATTATTTTGGGTTGCTTATCAAAAATGTGGATAAGCAAAATCTTATTTCAGTTTCCCTCTGCTTTTCTTTCAACATTTATTTTGATTTTTAAAGCTGATTTTTTTTGGTCAGAGTAATACATATAGGTGATTTTTAAAAGCTCATAATAGAAAGCATTCTTCTCCTCCATCTCTCTTCATTCCAAAGTTATGCTTTCTAAAGCACCTACTCTCAACTTTTCTAGTTTTTTACTCCGATATATACCTATGTCTTTTCAAATAAATTCTAATATTTAAAAATTCTATTTCTGATTTATCGATTACCCTCTGTGGTAGGTAAGGACTTATTTCTTCCATACCATGAACCTTTCTTCACATCCTTCTCACATTTTCCTCAATTTGTCATTTTTTGTTCAACCAATTTCAGTAGCCAGTGTTTTGACAGTGTAATTACTATGTACTGCTATACTGCTGAGTGAAATAATTTATTATAACAATTCTATTTTGTATAATTTTTTCTTGAAGTTAATGAATGGCTTTTTATTTTCATTTGCCTGTCTTTCTGTTTACTTATTAATTTTTCCAAATACTTCAGACTCTTACTATTGCCTATCAATATATTTTCTATACATTCAAATGTCAGTTCTGTTTTCCCCATGGTATCCTCCCATCCTTCTGCTTTAACCTGGACTTGTCTCCTAGGGCTTCTAGATCTCTCTAATCCTGGGAGTTTTTATTTTCACCCCATGTTGGATCCTTTCTCTTCTGGACATTATGTCTTTTTCTTGGTTTATTCTTTTTTTTTGTGGAGACACATCTTTCAGTAACTTCCCAAAAAAGAAAGGCATGTATTTTTGAAGTCTTGCTTGTCTAAAAATGACTTTATCCTGTTTCCTCACAATGATAGTTTTATTGGGTATAGAACCCTAGGTTGGAAATAAATTTTTCCCCCAGCGTTTTGAAAGCATTACTCCATTGCCTTCTAGCATCTGGTGTTGTTTTTGAAGTTTAATGCTATTTTGATTGGTCTTCCTTTGTATGTTACCTATTATTATTTTTTAATCTAAAAACTTTTAAAATCATCTCTTTTCATTTGTAATATTCTGAAATTTCATAGCAATGTACCTTGATGCCCTTCTAAAATTTTACTTTCTGAGCTTTTAATCTAGAAACCAATTTTCTTTAATTTTGAACAATATATTATTTGATAAATTTCTTCCTGCCATTTTTCTCTTCTGTATTTCTGGTACTGAATATTGTACTTGGACAGAGTGTCTAATTTCTGGATCCTTTCTCTTCTACTTTCTATATCCATGCATTTTGGTTCACCTTCTGTTTGATTCCTTGGCTTTATCTTCTAAGCTTTCTATTAAATTTTTCATTTTAGTATTACTTGATATCATTTTTTCCTGTATTTTTAGTTTACTTCTTTGATGACAACCAGAAGTTAAATAATTAGCAGTCTGATTCTAATAGCAACATATAGTCCACTCTGGTCACTAGATAAGAAAAAATGGTTGTATTTAAAACATGACAGTTTCCATCATTATAAGAAAAGATATGATTCAGTAGGCAAAGTGCAGAACTTAGAGTTTGAACAATGCTGACATTTAGATGTATGACACTGCCCGTTTTTTGTAAAGGACTAGAAGTTCTTGCTAACTTACTATAGTAGGGGGATATAACAATACCAGTTGTTGAGTATTTCAATCTTATTTTTATAGGCAGAGATATTTGGAAAAGTTCTTCAAAGTGATGAATATGAAGAAGTTGAAGACAAGACAGTAATGGCTATGGGAATTTTACATACCATTGATACTATCTTGACAGTTGTAGAAGATCATAAAGAGGTAGAATTTCTTTGTTTACATTTTATTATGTCATCATAGTAACATTAACTGAAATTTATATGATTAATAGGCATGAATTTTAAAATCTTGAATTTTAAATTGCTATTTAGTTATGTTGCTAGGTTTAAAAAATTGCCCTCAAAATTTCAAGGTATAATATTCCCCCCTAATCATTTTAATATATATGTGCTCTTAAAGTATGTATATATCCCTTTTTATTAAATTAAGTTAAATTCATCACATATGCTATACACTAGGCTAGGTTTTTGGAAAATAAACCAAATTGAGTAAGACATGAGCCCTACCTTTTGGGATTACTCAGTCCAGTCTTCCTAGTAGAGTGTGACATGCAGCCATACAATCACAGTAGCAAGTTTTAAGTAATATAATAGTGTTTAAGGGAAGGGGTAAAGAGCTTAAAAACATTGTAAACTGAATTCCAGAACAAAATTGGGATAATAATTTGTGCAGATGTTTATTAAGTGCTTTCATATCCTTTAGTCGATACGATCTTACTAATACCACTGTGTATATAGAGCAGGTAATGGTAGCTCCATTTTGCAGAAGTAGAAAGAAAGATTCACATATGTTGAAGAGACTTGTCTTTGATCACAGAGCTAGTAAGTTGTAGATTTGAGTTTGTAGTCAGAGCTACTAAGTTATAGATTTGAATTTGTAGTCACATCATTCTGATAAGCTATGAGTTTATCCCTATTTAAAACCTGCTGTTCTCCTCCTCAAGTATCACATGGCCTGTCCTTAACTCAGATTTGTTTTTGTTACTTCTATGAGCACAAATGGATTTGTTTGGCAGTGATGACAATCAGTTGGTGTCACCCAGTTGGTGTCACCCAGTACAGTAACTCATGGTGTTACTCCCTCCCCCCATGGATCTCCTCCCGTACCAGACCATACAGAATCCTTAGAAATGTTTTTTGTGCTAATATTACTGGTAAATTGTAATTCCCATATATTATTCCTTCTTTTCTTTTAGTTAGTACTTCATTCTCAAAAAACTTATTGATATAGTTTCACAAATACTAATTAACAAAATATTGCAGCTAAAACACCAGAAAATTTGACAAAATCCATGACTATAAAAACACAAGCGGCAACAAAAACAACAGCCTGTCCTTGTAGCGTGTGCAGACAAAACTGCGTGATTCGAAGCGTCATTGTAATTGAGTAATAAAGACAGCTCTGACCGGAGCACATTAGAAGATTCAAAAAGTAAATTAGCATAGAATTTTAGCCTTATAGGTATATAGATACTTGTAAGCTGGGCTTATGAAAATGTTTTTGTTGTTATAACTAACTACTGGGGTATTTTTATAGACAGTCATTTTGGTGTCACCCCCTCTAACAGTGTGACCCGGTGTCTTAGTCGTCTAGTGCTGCTACAACAGAAATACCACAAGTGGATGGTTTTAATGAAGAGAAGTTTATTTCCTCATAGTCAAAGTAGGCTAAAAGTCCAAATTCAGGGTATCCGCTCCAGGGGAAGGCTTTTTCTCTCTGTCGGCCTTCTTCTCTTCGGTGTTCCCCCGGACTAGGAGCTTCTCTGTGCAGGGACCCCTGTCCAAAGGAAGCACCCTGCTGCTGGCACTGTTTTCTTGATGGTATGAGGTCCCCCTGTCTCTCTGCTCACTTCTGTCTTTTACATCTCAAGACATTGCCTCAGGATACAGTCCAGTCTTGCAGACTGAGTCCTGCCTTACCAACACAACTGCCACCCATCCTGCCTCATTAACATCACAGAGGCAGGATTTACAACATATAGGAAAACCACACAATACCAGGAATCCTGGCCCGGCCAAATTGATACACACATTTTTTGGGGGGACATAATTCAAACCATGACACCCGGTATGGTCTGCATCCCCTGTACCACCTCCCCCAGTGATGCCACTGATGACAAGTCTTGTTTCATAGAGCAAGGATTTAGAAAGCAGATACCAGTTCTTTAAATAGCACTGCTAAACATTGTGGTTGTTGATTTATCCTGTGTTTATCACATACCAATAGAAAGTTACCAGGTTCTTAAAAATGGTTCAGTATTCTTCTCCTGGACAGGTCTTCCTTCACCTAGAAGGCTTAATGTGAATTTTTATTTCCTTATTTATTATTTTATTTTTGTGTCCTTCCTTTTTGAAACTGTAAGGGCCTTTCGGTAACAGTGAGATGTTCCAAATTACAGCAAGTATACTTAAGAATAATTTTTTGACCTTGTATGTGAAATTTGTATTTTAGATTTGAAGCAACCTTAGAAATCACATAGTCCAATTTTCCCAAGTATGTGTGTGAAGGTAGGGCAGGGAGGGGAGGAAGGACATGGAATAGTAGAGGTGGAATGAGCAGCAGCATTCGTTCAAAAACAAAACAACATTTTGTCCTTTTGATACTTCTTCTCTTTATAGTGAATTTATTTTGAATTTCAAATAACATTAAAGGAACATGTGAACTCGAGACTACCAAGAGAGGCATAGGTTAAAATTTGGGAAGCACTATTCAAATTCAGCTTTCCTTTTACAGATGAAAAACTTAGTCTTCAGCTAAATGGCTTTACCAAGTACATAGATTAAAATTAGAGACAAAATCAGAACTGGAATCTTGATCTCCTAACTGTTGGTCCTATGATTTTGAACGTTGACTTATGAAAAGCAAACTTTAAAAACGAATTTTTTCTTTAAAAGGAAAAACCACATTGTATGAGTACATGTACAAATACTTAATGTATCAAAAGCAAAACTAGAAGTAGAAAATAGATGTTTATAACATATGAATCTTGACGGATTCTTTAAAACTGAAAAATTTTGGATCATTTGAACTTAAAGACAATAGTTTAAGCTTAGTATTAAAAGAATATGCTCAGTTGAAATAGGATCTTTAGATGAAAAATATAACCCACGATGGATATTAATTTTTACTTATTTAAAAAGCAAATAATACGAACATTTTGAAAAATTCATCGATGGGAAAAGATACTCAGAGAAATTTCACTTTCCTGGAGAGCTCCCTAGCCATCTAATCCTCTCAGAAGGCAGCTGCTTTCACCAGGTTTTATCTATCTTTCCAGAGGTTTTTCTATTAATATATAAGCAATAAGTGAGTGTGTATTTTTCTTTTATAAAAACAATAACTATACACAGTTTTTCCATCTGCCGTTTTTTATTTAATATATCTTGGCAATCCTTCCATATCAATCAGTAAAGTTACATGTTTTTAATGATTGCATAATATCCCCTTGCCTGGTGTGTCAAATTTATTTAACTAGTTCCCTGTAATGGATATAATTTATTTAACTGTTTTTTTTTTGCATATATTTTCTAATGTTCTTCATATCATATACCAATTGATATTCCTTAAATCACTGTACAGCAGTGCAAGTGTAAGTCTTGTACTTTAGATTTGTATTTCTCTTTTTATGCATGAGAGAACTTTTTTTTTATAAGCTTAAGGCCTATTTGTATTTCTTTTTCTATAAATGTCTGTTCATAATCTTTGCCTATTTTTCTGTCGATCTGTTGATTTCATGTGAGGGGAATTTGATCTTTGTGATACCAGTTGAAAATATTTCACCTTAGTTTTTTCATTTATCTTTGACTCCCCTAATCCTATGCAGAAATTTTTAATTTTTGTAACCAAATGGATCAGTTTTTTTTATTTCTGATTTTTGAGCTTTGAATAATTTTCCCTCTTCAATATTTATAAAAATTCTTTTTATTCTAGTATTTTTATAGTTTAATTCTTCACATTGAAATCTTTGATCCCTTAAGAATTTATTTTGGTATAAAACGTGAGGTAAGGAACTCATTTAATTTGTAACGGTATTGTATATTTAACCTCAACCCCATCGTTAGTGTGCTTTTCAGAGTTTCCTAGTTATTCTTACATACCTTTTTTTAACATGAATTTTAGAATTAAACTTGTCAAATTTCCCTCCCAAAAAAATCTTGCTGGTATTTTTATTGGGATAATGTTAAATTTATGTATTAATTTAAGAATGATTATGATATTTTAAATTAAATGTTTAAGAATTATCATGTTTTAAATTAAATGTTTAAAATTTGTCTTTAGGTTACTCAACAGTTAGAAAATATCTGTCTACAGATCATTGATCTTGTTTTACGTAAACATATAATCGGTAAGTTCAAAGTCTGAGTAAAAAGGTAAATTGAGAATTTTTTTCTAATTTTATAAACTTAAAGTGCATTTTTAGCCTTTTAAAGTCAATAAAATGGACAACTTAGAGAAAAGAGAAACCTCCACTCTCTCAATTTTTAAATATACTTTCTAATGTTATGTGTCTATATTTCCATTTACAGGTAAACATAATGCATTCAATTAAGAAATTTTGGTCTTGGGATTTTTAAAGGATAGACAGTTTTAAATTTTGGGAAATGGAGAACTGGTATGAAGTTCAGATGAGATTTCTTTAATCTGGGATTGAAAAATATGAAATGATAGGCATATTTCTTGTCAGAAGTATGAACTAATTATTGTCTAGTTGTCTATTATAGTGCCTAATTTCTGAATCCATCACGTGTTTGTCAGTCTGTCTTACTGTGGTGGCTTGCGTGTTGCTGTGATACTGGAAGCTTTGCCACCAGTATTTCAAATACCAGCAGGGTCACCCTTGGTGGACAGGTTTCAGTGGAGCTTCCAGACTAAGACAGACTAGGAAGAAGGTCCTGGCAGTCTACTTCTGAAAAAAATTGACTAGTGAAAACCTTATGAATAGCAGCAGAACATTGTCTGATACAGTGCCAGAAGATGAGCCCCTCAGGTTGGAAGGCACTCAAAATACGACTAGGGAAGGAGCTGCCTTCTCAAAGTAGAGTCGACCTTAATGATGGAGATGGAGTAAAGCTTTCTCAACCTTCATTTGCTGATGTAGCACAACTCAAAATGAGAAGAAACAGCTTCAAAGATCAATTAATAATCAGAACATGAAATATAGGAAATACAAATCTAGGAAAATTGGAAGTTGGCAATTGAAAATGAAATAGAATGCATAAAGATCAATATCTTAGGCATTAGTGAGCTGAAATGGTCTGGTATTGGCCATTTTGAATCAGACAATCGTTTGGTCTGCAGTGCTGGGAATGACAAATTGAAGAGGAATGCTGTCACGTTCATCGTCAAAAGGACCATTTCAAGATCCATCCTGAAGTACAGCGCTGTCAGTGATAGGATAATTTCCATATGCCTACAAGGAAGACCAGTTAATATGACTGTTATTCAAATTTGTGTGCCAACTACTAACGCCACAGATGAAGAAGTTGAAGATTATTACTAACTTCTGCAGTCTGAAATTGATCAAACATGGAATCAAGACACATCAATAATTACTGGTGATTGGAATGCAGAAGTTGGAAACGAAGAAGAATTGGTAGTTGGAAAATACGTCCTTGGTGATGGAAACAATGCCGGAGACCGTGTGACAGAATTTTGCAAGACCAATGGCTTCTTCATTGCAGATACCTTTTTTTCAGCAACGTAAACAGTGGCTATACTTGTGGACCTTGCCAGATGGAATACACAGGAATCAATTCGACTACATTTGTGGAAAAAGACGATGGAAAAGCTCAATATCATCAGTCAGAACAAGGCCAGGGGCCAACTGTGGAGCAGACCATCAGTTGCTCATATGCACGTTCGAGTTGCAACTGAAGAAAATTAGAACAAGTCTACAGGAGCCAAAGTATGACCTTGAGTATATCCCCCCTGAATATAGAGACCATCTCAAGAACTGATTTGACGCATTGAACACTAATGACCGAAGACCAGATGAGTTGTAGAATGACATCAAGGACATCATACATGAAGAAAGCAAAAGGTCATTAATAAGACAGGAAAGAAAGAAAAGACCAAAATGGATGTCAGAAGAAGCTCTGAAACTCTCTCTTGAACATAGAGTAGTTAAATCGAAAGGAAGAAATGATGAAGTCAAAGAGCTGAGCAGAAGATTTCAAAGGGTAGCTCGAGAAGACGAAGTAAAGTAGTATAATGACACGTGCAGAGACCTGGAGATAGAAAACCAAAAGGGAAGAACATGCTCAGCATTTCCCAAGCTGAAAGAACTGAAGAAAAAATTCAAGCCTTGAATTGCAATATTGAAGGATTCGACTAGGAAAATATTCAACGATGCAGGAAGCATCAAAAGAAGATGAAAGTAATGTACAGAGTCACTGTACCAATAAGAATTGGTCGATGTTCACCCATTTCAAGAGGTAGCATATGATCAAGAACCGACGGTACTGAAGGAAGAGGTCCAAGCTGCATTGTAGGCATTGGCAAAAAATCAAGGCTCCAGGAATTGACGGAATACCAATTGAGATGTTTCAACAAACAAATGTAGCACTGGAGGTGCTCACTCATCTGTGCCAAGAAATTTGGAAAACATCTACCTGGCCAACCGACTGGAAGAGATCCATGTTTGTACCCATTCCAGAGAAAGGTGATCCAACAGAATGTGAAAATTATCGAACAATGTCATTAATACCACACACAAGTAAAATTTTGCTGCAGATCATTCAAAAGTGGTTGCAGCAGTACATCAGCAGGGAACTGACAGAAATTCCAGCTGGATTCAGAAGAGAACGTGGAACAAGAGATATCATTGCTGATGTCAGAGGGATCATGGTTAAAAGCAGAGAATATCAGAAAAAATGTTTACCTGTGTTTTATTGACTCTGCAGAGGCATTCAACTGTGTCGATCGTAACAAATTATAGATAACATTGTGAAGATGAGAATTCCAAAACACTTAATTGTGCTCATATAGAACCTGTACATAGACAAGAGACAGTCTTTCACACAGAGCAAGGGGATACTGCGAGGTTTAAAATCAGGAAAGGTGTGCATCAGGGTTGCATCCTTTCACTACACTTATTCAGTTTCTATGCTGAGCAAATAATCCTAGGAAGCCGGACTCTATGAAGAAGAACGTGGCATCAGGATTGGAGGAAGACTCATTAACAACCTGCCATATGCAGCTGACACAAACTTGGTTTGCTGAAAGTGAAGAGGACTTGAAGCACTTACTGATGCAAATCAAAGACTGCAGCCTTCAGTACGGATTGCACCTCAACATAAAGAAACAAAAATCTTCACAACGGGACCAATAAGCAACATCATGATAAATGGAGAAAATATTGAAATTGTCAAGGATTTCATTTTCCTTGGGTCCACAACACCCATAGAAGCAGCAGTCAAGAAATCAAACAATGTATTATTGCTTTGGGCAAATCTGCTGCAAAAGACCTCTTTAAAGTGTTAAAAAGGAAAGATGTCACCTGAGGACTAAGGTGCACCTGACCCAAGCTATAGTGTTTTCAGTCACTTCATAAGCATGCAAAAGCTGGACAATAAATAAGGAAGATTGAAGAAAAATTGATGCCTTTGAATTATTGTGTTGGTGAAGAATATTGAATGTACTGTGGATTGCCAGAAGAATGAACAAATCTGTCTTGAAAGAAGTACAGCCAGGATGCTCATTAGAAGTGAGGATGGCATACTCTGGTGGTCTCACCCTGTCTGGAGCAAGGGAGAATGAAGAAAACCAATGACACAAGGGAAAGATTAGTCCAAATGACTAATGGACCACAAGTACTACAGCCTGCACTAAACTGAGTCCAGCACAACTAGATGGTGCCTGACTACCACCCCCAACTGCTCCAGTAGCGATCACAGTAGAGGGTTGTGCGCAGAGATGAAGAAAAATGTAGAACAAAATTCTAACTCACACATACACACAAAAAGACCAGACTTACTGGTCTCACAGAGACTGGAGAAACCCCGAGAGTATGGCCCCCAGACACCCTTTTAGCTCAGTAATGAAGTCGCTCCTGAGGTTCACCCTTCAGCCAACGATTGGACAGGCCCATAAAACAAAATGAGACTAAATGGGCACACCAGCCTAGGGACAAGGATGAGAAGGCAGGAGGGGACAGGAAAGCTGGTAATAAGGAGCCCAAGGTCGAGAAAGGGAGAGTGTTGACATGTTGTGGGGTTGGCAACCAATGTCACAAAACAATATGTGTCCTAATTGTTTAATGAGAAGCTAGTTTATTCTGTAAACTTTCATCTAAAGTACAATAAAAAATTTAAAAAAAAAGAAGTAAGGATGGCGAGACTTTGTCTCACATACTTTGGACATGTTATCAGGAGGGACCAGTCCTTGGAGAAGGACATCATGCTGGTAAAGTAGAGGGTCAACGAAAAAGAGGAAGATCCTCAACGAGATAGATTGACACAGTGGCTGTAACAATGGGCTCAAACATAGCAACAATTGTGAGGATGGCACAGGACCAGACATGTTCATTCTGTTGTACATAGGGTTGCTATGAGTTGGAACTGACTCGATGGCACCTAACAATAATAACAACAATTTATGAATAGTATCAGTAGTTAGTGCTAATGTCAGGTATCTGTATTTCCATTTAGATATATAATGTATCGGATTAAGAATTTTTGGCCATGGAATTTTTAAAGGAGAGACAGTTTTAAGTTTTGGGAAATGAACTGGTATGAAGTTCAGATAAGGTTTCTTTAATCTGGGATTAAAAGATAGAAATGACAGGCATGTTTCTTGTCATAAGTATGAACTAGTTATTGTCTGATTGTCTGTTATAGTGCCTAATTTCTGAATAGAATCAGTAGCTAGTGCTAGATGTTACACACGGATGGGAATTTTGTAGGGAGGCTACTTTTCCATAGTATCCGAACATTTTGAAGATGGCAGCCCCAATTCATGTGGGCATGAGGGAGATGCACACTATACTATGCTGAGAAAACGATGAAAAATAAACTTGTTACTACCTGAGAGAAGTAGCTTCCAAACTATTTAATGTTCACTCTTGTGGTAAAAAATTGAGCATGCATTTCTAATATTTGTGAAAAAATTTATATACTTTTACGTACATTAGATATAAAAGGAATATGTATGAGTATATCACTTAAATCTTCCTCTGTGGAGTCTTTGTTTAACTTTTACTTTTTCCTAGCATTCTAACTAGAGATTTTCTTCTTTTTAGAATTTTATGAAGAAATCTTTTCATTGGCATATAGTTTAACCTGTCATAGTATTTCCCCTCAAATGTGGCAGCTTCTAGGTATATTATATGAAGTTTTTCAGCAGGATTGTTTTGAATATTTTACAGGTATGGTTTTGAGGTATTTTTGCTTTTGTATATCTAAATATTTTCTTTAACACCTGAAATAAAGACATACATGATTCCAGTACTAATCAGAAAATAATTGTCCTTTCCCTGTCAAATAAAGGGTGGGACTATTGTAGCAGTTTTCTTCAGCCCTAGGAATGTAGGCAATAGAAGGTATTCTGCATTTCTTACTTATTGCATCTTAAATCAGTTTGCAAACCAGAGCATATTTATCTGTACATTGATTCAATATATGTTTTTTGAACAACTACTATATTCCAAGTACTAGTCTAAGCTCTGTGATACAGCGGTGAACAAAATGGACAGCCGTTGCCCTTTTGAAGCTTAAATTCTAGTGGAGGGAGAAGAAAGGGTGGGGAAACACTCAGATAAACAAGCAAGAAAATATTCAGTATGTCAGATGGTGATGAGTGCTATGGAGAAGAAAAAATTCAGAGTAATAAATGGTGAACATTTTTATTTTTTTGATTCACATTTTTCTCATCTATAAATAGGGTGGACTTATCACTTTTATTTCCAATATTTTGTGGTTGCAAGGGAATAGCAATGTGTGGATGCTACAGGAGTGTGATTTCAGTGGGAGTAATTTATTTCTATTCCTGTTACTCATTTCTCATTGCGATTTTAAATTTCTTTTTCTAGACATGATGCCTCTCCTGCATAATTATGTGACAATAGATACAAATACTTTACTATCAAATCCAAAGCATTTAGAAATACTTTTTACAATGTGTAGAAAGGTAAGCACATCCTCATCAGTTCTTAGTAGTTCTTACTAATGTTTGAGAGCTTTTACTTCAGGAAGCTCTTTCAGTTTGTTTCTTAGTTATTGCATTCTATATTACCTTCATCAAAATATATTTATCATTTTGTATTTCAAATGGAACTTGGAAATTTGAAATTGTTGTAATCTGGAAATTTCATGTTGTGTATTGTGCGTACGAATGTTCACCACTTTTATAGCTGTTTATTTTATAATTTTTAGGGTAAATAATTTTCTTTGTGTGTGTTTTTTTTCCTTTCAAAAATACAAATTTGCTACTTGTTTAAAGAAAAGTGCTAGATAAATTAACCAGTCATATCACATAGTTTGTAGATCTGTGAAGGAATGACATTGATTTTTTTAATTGGATGTACGTATTAGAAACCAAGAGATGTAGGTAAGTTTAAACACATAGCATAAGACAAAAAAAAAAATGTAATGTTTGGAGAAAAACAGCATCATTCAGCTCAACATAAAATAATTTATAATCCATATAATGACTACTTTTATATTTACATACAAACATGATTATCTACTACATTATCTTTGCCATATGTTAGATTTGGCCCTGTATTGGTTATAGCATGGTGTCAGCGATACATGATATTGTCTAGTGATTGAACGTTTTCTTCTCTTTTAGATGAATATATGTATATACATAAATATAATACTTTACATATCATGCTTATGTGATTGTATTGCATAAAGCTGGCAGGCAGATTTTAGAAATCTCAAGTAGCCAGAAGCCAAGAAGTTTGGCTTAGAGTTGGGGTAAAATAGTGTACAACACATTTTCCTTTCTATATGGAGCCCTGGTGGCGCAGTGGTTAAGAGCTATGACTGCTAACTAAAATGTCGGCAGTTCAGATCCACCAGCTGCTCCTTGGAAAACCCTGTGGGGCAGTTCTACTTTGTCCTGAAGAGTTGCTATGAGTTGGAGTTGACTCGACGGCAATGGGTTTTGTTTTTTTTGGTTTTTGAAGAGATATGCGCTAGGACCTGTTGAAGAGTTCTGAACCAGTAATCAGTATACCTGGCTTAGGTCCCAGTTTAGTTATAAAGAGCGTGGGAGATTTTGGAAAGTCAGTAAGTTTCTTCACAGGGGGTAGGTGGATGAATAGTGATTTTTAAAGACTAATTAAGCTCTGTGATACTAGCTTCTGAAATCATAATTACCTGGCCAATTTTCAGGTTTTTTTTATTTTTTAGATTATAGAGACAGCTGCTAGTGAAAGAACAGGGGAAGCAGAAAGCGTAAGAGTTGAAAGTACATCAAGTCCAACACAGTCCAGTAGTGCCTCACAGCTGCTCTGTATTGTAACAAATATAAAATTGATACAATGATGTCTATATACTTAGCAAGTATTAAAATATATATTCTTTGTTTTAATAACAGTTAATATTGATTGAACTCTTACTGTATACCAGGTATTTCCTAAACACTTTATACATATTGACTTACTTAATCTTCACAACACTGTAACAAAAGTAGCCCTTTTTATCAATGAGGAAACCAAGGCACAATTTCTTGAATTCTACCTGAGATTTAGTAAAGTCACGTAGTTACTATCTGTTGGAGCCAGATTTAAATCCAAGTAGTTTGGTTCCACAGCAGAGTCTTAATGACTAAAATATATTTTGTTTCCCCTCTTTTGGCCTTAAAAAAAAAAAAAAAAAAAAGGAAGACAGTTTTGGGAAAAGTGAGTAATTTTTTTTTTCCCCTTTGTGTATCATTGTAACCTCATGAAGATAAGTGCTATTATTATCCTCATCTTATAGATGGGAACAGTAAGACAGAGTGATTAAGTAGCTTTCCTAAAAACACAGCTGTTAAGTGCAGAGCTGGGATTTGAACCAAGGCATTATGGCTCCAGAGCCCATTCTCATTTAGAATCTAGATACATTGCTTTAGAGAGAGAATTTTATTTTTATGCAAACTGGGTTGATTCTTGGCTTTGCCCCCTACCTGCTTACAATTTAGCATTCTTGGTTCTACTAAGTCAATTGTCACTGATCCATCTGTTTTCTAGCTTTTTATTGCTGTCTTTTCCTTTTCCCTGTCTTTATGGGTTTATGCCTTTAAAATGCCTTTATGGTCATTTTAATGGAGTTTTGAGAGAGAATGAAGTTAATGAGAGTGTTCAATCTGTCATCTTTATCTGGAATTTCTTTTTTGGTTTTTTTAAATTATATTTTTCCAGGAAATTACCAAATTCATCTGAGTTTTCAAATATATAAAGAATATAGTGTTATCCATAGTATTTTCTTATTTTTCTTTTATCTGTAGTTAATATCTCTTTCATTGCTAATATTTTTCATTTTTCTTTGCTTTTTTAAATAATCTTGGCAGAAGTTTATCTACGTTGTTAGTCTTTTGGTTTCTCTGTTATCTCATTTTTTTCTATTTTTAGTAATTTCTATTCTCTTTATTTCTTTGGGTTAAGTCTATTCATCTTCTTATGTCTTGTGTTTGGACCTTTGTTAATTTTTTCATGTTTCTTAATTTCTAATATAAGCATGTTATAATCTAGAAAACTCTTTTCTGAGAACCTTATTATAAGGCAACTATATTCCAAATTTTATGCGTAAACATGTCCATTAGAGAATTGTTTGTTGTTGTTGTGTGCCATTGAGTTGATTCCAACTCATAGTGATCCTCTGGGACAGAACAGAGCTGTCCCATAGGGTTTCCAAGGCTGTAATCTTACCGAAGCAGATCACTAGGTCTTTTCTCTCACAGACCTGCTGGTGGGTTCTAACCTCTGACCTTTTGGTTAGCAGCTGAGCACATAACCATTGCACCTTCAGAGCTCCAGAGAATTGTTTACAATAATAAATTACCTCACAGTAGGGGAACTAGTAAACTTTGTTATACCATCTACTGTAATACTGTATAGTCCTAAGTGATTATAAAGTCAATGGAAGATACTTCTAATTATAATTTTTTCATGTGGAGAAAATGAAACGTGTAATACAAAATTATGGTGGTTATGACAAAAATAAGTGCATGTGGAAAAGCATTCAAAAGGAACAGAAAAATAAAAGGTTTTATTATTTTGGTAGGAGGTTATTTAGTTTTTCTTTTAATTACATTTTATTGCTTTGTTGTTTTGCTGCCTTTAAAGAGAAGTTTCATTTATTTGGTCAATTAACTCAAGTAGCCTACTTCATTAATCCAAAGTATTTTCAAATAAGTGAATTATTACTCTTTATTTTTAAGGAATTAGAATAGAGTGGATAGACAGATGTTGCTTCTTTTGACCTTCGTTTGGATTGGCAAGGTGAATTTGCAAAGCAAGCAGTTATGATCTCTGTGGCTGAGTTTATACAGGATAATAGCTTCATGTAGACTTAGTTAACTCCGTGTAACTCCATGTAATACCACTAGAGGAGCCTTGGCGGCACAGTGGTTAAAGCGCTGTGCTGCTAACCAAAAGGTTGGCGGTTCGAACCCACCAGCTGTTCCGTGGGAGAAAGATATGGCAGTCTGCTTCTGTAAAGATTTACAGCCTTGGAAACCCTGTGGGGGCAGTTCTGCTCTGTCCTGTAGGATCACTGTGAGTCAGAATGGAATTGATGGCAATGGGTTTTTTTGTTTAATGCCACTGGTTGCGAAGTTAAATTGTTGTAATTACTGCAGGTACTGTCTGGAGATGCAGGAGAAGATGCAGAATGTCATGCAGCCAAACTTCTAGAAGTCATTATTCTTCAGTGCAAAGGAAGGGGAATTGATCAGGTATTGTATGTGTGGAAAGTATCTTACTGATGTTTGCATTTAAAATTTATATGGTTGATTAGCATTTTGTTTATGATAGAAAATTGAAAAGAGAATCTATAGTTTGTGGCTGCTGGTGTGAATCTTATTTAAATGATAAGGAAAAACACCCATTCAATTTGGAAATTATACCTTGCATTCTGGCTGAGAAATGGATAAATGGAAAAATATAATAATAATTTAAAAAATAATTTAAGCAGTTATCAATAAAAGTAATGAAGGAGATAAGTGTATAAATTCTGCTCAGTTGAATTCCCAGAGATGTATACGTTCACTTTATTTTTGTGTATGCAATTTAAATTCAGTTATCTTTTCTAACCAGAAGTTAAGATACTGTACAAAAAGAGGAAAAATAAAAAGAAATGTTTTTCTTGACCAATTCAAAAAGTATTAACAAATTTTCAACAAGATTAATTCAATTTTTTTATACTATGCTGATATGATACTCGCTTACTGAGAAGGTATTAGTTTTCAAGTATAATTGTAGATTTGTCTCTTTTTCTTTCAGTTCTATAATTTTTGCTCCATGTATTTTTTTAATAACAACTTTATTGAAATATAATTCATGTACCATGTAATACACCCCCTTAAAGTCTACAATGCAATGGTTTTTGGTATATTCACAGAATTGTGCAACCACTACCACAATCAATTTTAGAACATTTTTTACCCTTCCTGCCCAGTAAAACCCTGTACCCATTAGCAGTAGTTATCCTTATTTGCTTCCGAGCCCCCAGCCCTTGGCAATCCCAATTCTGTTTTCTCTCTCTATAGATTTGCCTTTTTGGACATTTAATATGACAGGAATCATACAATATGTGATCCTTTGTGACCAGTTTCTTAGCATAATGTTTTCAGGGTTCATCTATGTTGTAGCATGTATCAGTGCTTCATTTCTTTTTATTGTTGAATAGTATTTCATTGTATGGATGTATCACATTGGCTAATATGAATAATGCTGCTATGAGCACTCGTGTACAAGTTTTGTGTGGTCGTATTTTTTCATGATGTTGCTTATTAGTCCAGTTGTGAGGAGTTTTGCTTTTTTTATGTTGAGGTAAAGTAGGTAAAAAGAAGAAGACCCTCAACAAGATGGATTGACACAGTGCCTGCAACAATGGGTTCAAGCATAGCAATGATTGTAAGAATGGTGCAGGACTGGGCAGTGTTTTGTTCTGTTGTACATAGGGTGCTATAAGTAGGAACTGACTCGATGGCACCTAATAACAATAACAACAATATTTTTTTTATTTCTCTTGAGTATATACCTTAAAGTAGAACTGCTGGGTTGTATGGTAACTCGAACTGTTTGAGAAACTGTTAGACTGTTTTTCAAAGTTGCTGCACTGTTTTACATTCTCATTAGCAGTGTATGAGGGTTCCAATTTCTCCACATTCTCACCAATACTTGTTATTATCTGTCTTTTTTATTATAGCCATTCTATAGGTATGAAATGGCATCTCATTGTGGTTTTTATTTAAATTTCCCTGATAGGTAATGATATTGAGCATCTCTTCATGTGCTTGTTGGCCATTTTATATATTTTTTGGAGAAATGTCTATTCAGATCTTCTGTACATTTTTAAATTGGGCTATTTGTCTTTTTATTGTTGAGTTATAATAGTTCTTTATATATTCTAGATTCAAGTTCCTTATCAGATGTATGGTTTGCAAAAATGTTCTCTTTCAGTGGGTTTTTTCACTTTCTTGATGGTGTCCTTTGATTTTGTTTTAAATAATGTAAAGGAGTAATTTTAGCATTATTAGTTTTAAAACTTCAAGATTTCTCTGTGTTGCTAATGGCTTTGCATGTAATAGTAGAGATACGTTGATTGATAAAAATGAGGACTTTTATTTGTAAAACCTCTTAAAAGGAACTTTTCAAGCTTACTTTACATTTTCTTATGGCTTAATTGATCCACAGTTAATTATTTGACCATGGTAATAATTTTTAATGTAGCCTATTTCCTATATGTGTTGTGCTGTAAAATCAGAACACAGAATGCTCTGTATCAGAACATAAGAAATTACTATAGACTTAATCAGATTGGTCATCTCTTCTTTGTAAAGTCCTAGTCTTAAAAGTATCACAGGTAGGAATATAACCAAACACTTTGAGGGACAGAGTAGCAGAGGCAGGGGTCTGGGGAGCATGCTTTCAGGGGACATCTAGGTTAGTTGGCATAACAAAATTTATTAAGAAAATGTTCTGCATCCTACTTTGGTGAGTGGTGTCTGGGGTCTTAAAAGCTAGCAAGCAGCCATCTAAGATGCATCAATTGGTCCCAACCCACCTGGAGTAAAGGAGAAAGAAGAACACCAAAGACACAAGGAAAGTTATAGCCCAAGAGACGGAAAGGGCCACATAAACCAGAGACTACATCAGCCTGAGGCCAGAAGAACTAGATGGTGCCCGGCTACCACCAATGACCACCCTAACAGGGAACACAGCAGAGAGCCCTGATGGAGCAGGAGAATAGTGGGGTGCAGACTTAATGGTCTGACTGAGACTGGAGGAACCCCAGAGAGCATGGACCCTGGACTCTCTGTCAACCCAGAACTAAAACCATTCCTGAGGCCAACTCTTCAGACAAAGATTAGACTGGACTATGGGACATAAAATGATACTTGTGAAGAGTGTGCTTCTTAGCTCAAGTAGATACATGAGACT